AAAAAAAAAAAAAAGTTCATGCATATGAAAGTATATGCAATATAATTTAATAAATCTAGACAAGAATCCATACTAAATTTTATATTAACACTCCATAGAATCTACCCTCACCAGGACTGTTACTGTCCTCCGCCGAACTCTGCCTAGAACCGGGCCTCGAAGTTGTTGAGTTGTTCATGTTGAGCCCAAGGCTTGCACAATCCAATCCAAGTGCACCTAGTAGCATATTTCATATATCCAGTTTCGTACGAAATTATCTCTTAGTAACTTAAATACATATTTATAATAAACAAATCCCTCAAGTTTAACTAGCCTAATTTCAAGTTGCAACAAGAAAACAAGCATTGACGTGGCATTCGCAAATTTTGCGAAATATATGTGTTGAAATTAGACAAAACTTCAAGATCTTAATTAATCCATACTTTAAACAGAAGAAAATTAAATATAAAAACAAAACTTATCATATGCTATATTCTCACATTCTTTGTAGCAAGGGAAAGAAGTGGAGTTGAACAAATTGAAGTAGCCCTCATCGCATTCGCACGAGTGTGTGAATATGGAGGTCTTATTACACGAACCTCCCCCACAGTAAGTCCAGAAACAGGCTACAAAAGCACAACATAAACAGAGAATGAATTGTGCAAAAATAGCATAATTAATTGAGAGTAGATATAAGGAAGACACATATCACTTACGGTCTAGAAACGAGAAGTTAGCATTTTTGTGATTATCGGATGCTGGGGGAAGCGCATTCGCACAGTCGTTGTTTAATGTACCTGTAAAAATAGAAAAACACAAACAAATTAACCACATTTTGAAATATTAGGAAAAAGGAATATTCTGAAATTTATGCAAAATGGAAAGTTGTGTTTTGAACCATAGAATCTAACAGTCAGGTTATCAATAATGCTAAGGAGCCAACTGTTGGCTCCATAACGGAGTCAACAGTTGACTCCTTAGCATTACTGGTCAGGTTATAGTCTTACAGAAGAAAATTTATGCAATATGTAAGCATGAATTTCATTCTTACATCATCTATTCATCTACGAGGACAAATGGTGATAAGTTTAATTAACATTAGTAAATTCACTATACTATTGCTAACTACAATACATAAATTATGTTTGAACAACAAATATATTTTAATCTCATTGGTTAAATATTAGTTATTTAGTATTATAATAGAAACAGGGACACATGTGTAGTATTGAATATATATTGCAATACTAAAATCGAATATATGACCTAGTTTAGAAGGAAAAAATTAAAATAAAAAGTAAGCTCACAATTGGGAATGACGCAAGGCAAGAACTTGAGATTTTCATCGTCATCTGCAAGAACTTGTTTCCAGCCAGAGTCGCATTCGCATTCGTACCCAAAAGTGCTATTACTCGAAACCACGCAATTTCCCTTTCCACAAATATTTTCTCCACAAGGGTTATTATTACCTATCACAATCCCAAAATTCAGATAAAGAGAAACAATCTAT